TAGAAAGGGATAGAGAAGAAAATTAGAAGGAGAAGGAGGAGAGGAAGAAAGGCGAAAAGGAAGGAGAGAGCAGGCGGGATGAGGAGGAAACGAGGAGACGGAGAGAGAGAGAGGGGGGGGGGGAGAAAGTAGAAAAGGTTATATAATCCAATTACCTCCTATGAGCTTAATAGGTGAGGGAGAGGGGGACAGCGAGGGGGAGGGGAGGAGGGGAGAAGGAAGAAAGGAAGAAGGGGGGAGGGAGAAGGGAAGAAAGGAAGAAGGGGAGAGGAGAAGAGGAAAAGGAAGAAGACTGGAAGAGGTAAAAAGAAGGAAGAGGGAAAGAGAAAGAGGGGAAGAAGGAAAGAAAAGCAAAGGAAGGGAGAGGGAAAGAAGAGACAGAAAAGGGAAGTGGAACGGAAGGAGGGCCGATGCGAGCGAAGGGGAAACGCAAATAAATAAAAGAATATACAAATGAATAAACAAGTTAGAAAAATGTGTGTGGGTTTTCATGTTGTATTCTGAATATACACAGTCCATACATACATAAGAGCATGCACACATACATACATACATACATATAAACATACAATCATATACACTGAGACAGATTTGTATGCGTGCGCGCGTACGTATATTTGGCAGGCCCAATTACATAAAATGAAAGAAGATACCATAAGACAAAACAAAATCAAATCAAAGCGAACAAATAAAAAAATACATTGCAACGTAGCACAAAGAGAATCTAAAATATAAGTAGAAAACGCGAACAAAAAAAACAAAGAGGCAGAACAACACAATGAACCGTGACGAAGGGACATGACCATTAGTTTTTTTTTTTTTTCTTCTTCTTTTTTCCCCTTTTTTCTACTTCCTTTTCTTTTTCTTCTCCTTCTATCTCCCTTTCCTACTTTTCTTCTACTTCTACTTCTACTACTACTACTTCTTCTTCCGTTTCTCCTTCATTTTCTCCATTTCATCATCTTTTTCTTCTTGCTTTTCTTCTTCTATGTTCCTTTTCTCCATTTCTTCTTCTTCTTCTTCTTCTTCTATGTTCTTTTTCTCCATTTCTTCTTCTTCTTTTTCTTCTTGCTTTTCTTCTTTTATGTTCCTTCTCTCCATTTTTTCTTCTCCTCCTTCTCCTTCTCCTTCTCCTCCTCCTTTTCGGGAGAGGGGTAAAGACGCAAGGGAAAGGACTGAGAAACACTTCGAGACGAAAGGGGAAGCGGAGGACACGGGGACAACGGCGCGTCCAGAGCAGCTCCCTCCGCCCTTCACGCCAATCTGTGTGAAGCGTGATTGGGAGGGGGGAGGGAGGCAGCTGTAGGGGTTAGGGAAATAAAAAGTGGTATGGAGGAAGGGAGGAAGGGAGGAAGGGAGGGAGAATGGAAGGAAAAAGAAGGAAGGAGGAAGGAAGGAAGAAGGAAAGCAAGAAGGAAAGGAAGGAAGGAAGCAAGAAGAAGGAAAGAAAGAAGGGAGGGAGGAAGGATGGGAAGGGAGGGGGAGGGAGGGAGGGGAGGGGGGAGGAGGGAGGGAGGGAGAGGGAAAGAGGAAGGGAGGGAGGGAGGAAGGATAGAAGGAAGGAGGGAGGGAGGAAGGGAGTAGGGAGGGAATGGAGGAAGGAAGGGAGGGATGGAGGGAAGGGAGGGAGGAAGGTAGGAAGAGAACGAGGAAAGGGGCGGGGGGGGGAGGGAAAATATGGGAGGCGGAGGAAGAGATAGAATAAGAATAAGGAGTGAGAAAGGAAAAATAAAGGATGTATAGGAGAGAAGTAAAGAGACAGAGAAGAGGTATCAGGGAGGAAGAGGAAGCAAGGAGAAAGGAGGAGAGGGCAGTAAGAGGCAGAGAGGGAGGGTGGAGGGAGGGTGGAGGGGAGGGGAGCCATCTCCCAATATCGAAATGGAAGTCATTGCCTAGGCCTCCCCCGGAGTGCCAGCGAGGGCCACAGCCACAAAGATGCCACCCCGTTCCCTTCTTCCTTCTGGCCTGAACAATTACCTGATGTCTTCCTGTCGCGCTCCGCAGACTACCCTTCTAAAACATTCAAACATACGCATACACGCATACAAACTTATACATACATACATACATATATATATATATATATATATAATATATATATATATATATATATATATATATATATATATATGTATGTGTGTGTGTGTGTGTGTGTGTGTGTGTGTGTGTGTGTGTGTGTGTGTGTGTGTGTGTGTGTGTGTGTGTTGTGTGTGTGTGTGTGTGTGTGTGTATGTATATATTTACACACACACACACACACACACACACACACACACACACACACACACACACACACACACACACACACACACACACACACATACACATATATACACACATATACATACAAATATACGTACATATAAATTCAAATACACACACACATAGACACATACACACACACGCGTGCGTGCGTATATACATTTATATATATATATATATATATATATATATATATATATATATATATATATATATATATATATGTGTGAGTGTGTGTAAAATATGACCAGTAAGAACATTAATAAGAAAACAATAATAATAATAACACCGATAATAATAACAATAACAACAACAATAGTCAAAATCACAACAACAACCCCAACACACCGCCACAGAAGACCAGCAATACGGATAAACAAAGTAATAAAAAGCCTCCTTCCAATCCCTTAATATAACAGAACCCCCCTCTCCCTCCTCCCCTCCCCCTCCCCCTCTTGGATATCGAAGCCCCCCCTCCTCCGCCTCCCTCCCGTCCCGACCAAGGCAATCCCCCACCCCCCTCCCCCTCTTGGATATCGAAGCCCCCCCTCCTCCTTCTCTCCCCTCCTGTCCCGACCAAGGCAACCCCCACCCCCTCCCCCACCCCCCGCAGAAGGCCAGGTCGGGTCGTCCATTACCGGCTCGAGAGAATTTACATCATTCTCCCTTCCCTTATCTTATCGCAGTCACCAGCAGGCTATCAGCGGGAAGAACGCGAGGAATGTCCCTTTTTTCTCTCTCTCTTTTTTTCTTCTTCTTCTTCTTCCTCTCTCTCTCCGTCCCTCCCTTCCTCTCTTCCTTCCCCTTCTTCCTTTTCTTTTTCTTCTCCTTCTCACTCTCCTACTTCTTCTTCTTCTATTTCTTATTCTTATTCTCCTTCTCCATCTCCTTCTTCATCTCTCTCTCCTCCGTCTTGTACTTCTTCTTCCTAATCCCCTTTTATCGTTTTCACTCTCCTCCTTTTCCTTCTTTTCTATCTCCTTCTCCGTCTTCTCATTCACTCTACCTCTCTCCCTTTTCTATTCTTTGCTGTTGCAAGGGAGGGAGGGAGGGAGAGAGAGTGGGAGGGGGCGCATTCTTGGAAGGGAAACTATTACCTTTATCACTATCATCATCACTGTTACTGGTGCCATCGTTATTATTACTGTTATTATTATCATTATTATCACCACTATAATTATCACTATCATCATCATCCCTATAACGAGCATAACCATCATCACTATAATCATCACCATCAACCCCATAATTAGCATAATCACCATCACTATCACTATCACTACCACCATTATCCTACAACCACGCAGTGTTTATAAGCATTTTCCTTATCATCTTTTCTTGCTTCCTCGCTGGCGCGTTATTCAAGCAGACATTTTCTTCAAGTTCATGTTGCCGGACCTCTCTCCCACATCGTCAATTCCACTGACTTATAGCAAAAGTATGAGCCGAAAAAGGCATAGCAGCAATGAGACGGAATAACGTATGCTAGAAGGGTAACATCAACAACAAAAGCTGAACTCGTGAAAAGATACAATGGTGAACAATGAACTGCAAGAACAACAGTAGAACACAGACGATAACATTAACGTCGATAAGAATAATATAACAGTAACAAATAGTGTTAGAACAGGTGATAATGACATTACACAGACTGCAATATAGGAAATAATAACATCAGCAGACTTTCCATAGTAATGGAAACAGCCAAGACAACAACAAAAAACATTTACAATAATAATGCCAACACTATCAAGACAAATAAAAACAGCGATAATAATAGTAATGATAATAATACTAACAATAACTAATAATAATGATAATGATAATAATACTAACAATAACTAATAATAATGATAATGATAATGATAAAAAAAACAATAATAATAATAATATTCATGATAATTATGAATAATAATAATGATAACAATAATAATAATAATGAAGATAATAATAATAAAAACGGTAATCATAATCATAATCATAATAATAATAATAATAATAATAATAATAATAATAATAATAATAATAATAATAATAATAATAATAATAACAATAACAATAATAATAATAACAATAATGACATCAACCACAGCAGTAGTAATAACACTGACGAAGGGCCCGAGTCTGCCAAGGACCCAAACCCGCACGACGCCCAAGCAGGAGGGATCCGTCCGTGACCTCACGACCTGCTTAACTTGACCGACCCGACCCAACGCCCAACGAAGTCACCTCGTCCAAATAATCACAATAACTGTGCAATAAACGAAGTCTAAATAAGAAAAAAAATAATAGTCCTAATAATCACAATAACTGGGCAATAAACGAAGTCTAAATAAAAAAAATAAAATAAAAAACATAACTAATAACACTGGTCTTGCCACTTGGCCAAGCAAGAAGGCCCCGCCCAGAAGCCAACCCAGGGCCAAAGCCAGCCTGAATCACCTGCTCCTCGAGGGCCATGTGCTGCTCGCGATGACGACGATCGCAAGAGATAACAATCGGATGATCCACACTAACAATCAGCGACCTCCGCCTCGCCTGCCTGACCGAGGACGAAGGCCCGACCCGACGCCACGGGCAGCCCAACTCACCTGCTCCTCGAGGGCCATGTGCTGCTGGCGATGAGAATACGTCACCCGGAATAACAACAACAACAACAAAAACAATGACGACAACGGGCAAGCAGCTGCCTCCTTGCCAGCCCGAAGCCGAAGCCGAAGCCAGCCGGACACACTCAC